ACACACATGACAACTTGCTTTATTGGCCAGATGCAGGAATTGACTGCATTGCTTGCGAAGGCCAATAGACTCTAAATTACTTGCATTAAGAACAGTTGGGATGGGTTCTTTTTGTTTTTTTAAAAGAATGTCTTGCAACAAAAGACACAGCATTTAAATGCTCTGCAGGCCTGTTCTGTTCGGCTTCCTGCTCACCACCAATAAAGAAGATGGTATTATTCGGACTGTATTTATATTTGCCTTGTAGCATTTACATGGGAAAAAAAAGAAACTTCAGCATTCATGTAGTTTAACCTAATCTCAGGTGTTAAGAAAACAGGTAAGGAAGCTTTTAAAATGAGGTTTGGCAGTGCCCGTTTATGTGACCAAATACAGATGCCTTGGTAAACAACATTAATCCACGAAGAATAAGCCGTTTTGGAGGGCAGTTAATCCAGAGTGCTGTGTGCTGTCATCTAGTTTTGTGGGGCAGAGTCTTTCCAGCACCATGCAAAGAGATTATTTTGGAGTTTGTCTTCGCCACAGGAGGCAGGTTTCAGTTTGCTTTGCACTTGGTATTTGCACAACCCTTTGTGGCGGACAGGTTACAGAGACAAGCAAAGTCCTATGTAACCCTCCACTTGCAGCACTTTGGGAACTGACAGCACTTAGGGACTTGCAAATTCGTTCCACCCTCCGCACACCAGGACGCAGGTTGCAAATGCCAGGCCAGTACCATGGCCCACAATAAAGCAGCCGCTGCAGCCCAGAACAAAATGCAGTGAGTCCTTTGCTTGCAGAGCGGACAGACAGCCTGACCGTGAAGAGGGAACATTGCTGAGGGTTCTTTTTATTAGAGGGTTGGTCCTATAGTAACTCAGTTTATTAGCAACTTTGGGTACACCATTTACTGCTGCAACAGAGGATTCTGCAGAGACAACTGTCTTAGCTGTAGGTGCGTGACACAGCTGGAGAGGCTGACGCCGCCTGACCCAGGAGATGAACCCTGGACCCTCCCATTAAATGTCTGATGCTCTACCAACGGAGCTAGGTCAATCTGCTTTGCCGTAAGGCCCAGGTCACAAGGAGGGCAAACAACTTTTAAGGCCGTTTGATGCTCTTCTAGGGGCTGCGCTTTGAGCAGGAGACCCAGCGCTGTCCTGTCCGCGCTCAGCATTGCGCTGGGGGCCCTGGGAGGGAGGCAAGGAGAAGAGAGAGGCCTCCAGGGGCGGTTGCTGGGGCCAAGCCTCCCTGGGGGAGACGGGGGTGGAAACGCCACTGCCCCCGCTCAGGCTGCGATGCCCGGCGGGGCCCCGCTGCTCGGCCAGCCCCAAGCCCGACCTCTGGCAGGGAGCCGTAGGGCCGGGGCCGGCTCCGCTCTCGCCAGGCATTACCCAGCAGCAGCCCCAGGGCAAAGGGGAGCAGCGGGCAGGGATCCCCCCGGGCCCGGGGCCCTGCCCGTGCCAAGCTCGCTTCTGGGAGGGGGCGCTGGCTGCAGCCCAGCCCGGCCGCTCGCGGCTGCAGGGCTCCCGTCCGGCCGCTCACAAGCCGCCCAGGCCGAGAGCGGGAGGGAGGGTCGGTGGCAGCCCCGCGGGCTGCAGAGAAGCCGGGCCCCGCAGCCACCCCTGCGCCGCGCTGCCGCGCCCGCGGGCCGGGACTCGAACCCCCCGGGCCGCCCGCTCCCTACCTTGTTGTAGGCGATCTCCGGGCGGGGGTTCGGGGCGGGGATGGCGGGGGCCGCGGCCGAGAAGGGGCTGGCGAGCTGGGCCGGAGCCGCCCGGCCCCACAGCCGGGAGCCCAGCGCGGCCGCACGCAGCATCCTGGCACTGGGGAGACGCAGGGCCATGGGGCGAGCCGCGGATGCAGCCACGGGGGGGGGCGCGGCCCGGGGGCGGGTCCGGGCCCCGGAGCACGTGGGCGCGGGGAGCTGGCTGGACCGGCTCGGTAGCGGTAGCTCGGGCCTGGCGGGCTCCAGCGAGCTCCGTCCTGCCGCTCCCCGGCCCCGCTTTTGCCGCAGCAGCGCCAAGCTCGCCTGGCGAAGGGCGAACGGCCCCGGCCGGGCTCGCCTCTGCTGGCCCGCAGGCTAGCGCGGGGCTAAGGGGGCTGCTGCCCGTCCAAGCGCTTTGGACGCGTCGCCTCCGCTCATCCCCCCGCGGAGGGTCTGTCTGACCCAGGCAGGTCGGTGCCAGGTTTGCCAGGTGGGCACCGTCCACGTACTAGGTGACCAGAGAGCAAGTGTGAAAAATCCTGGGGGAATTAGGCGCCTATGTAAGAGAAAGCCCTGAAGATTGGGACTGCTGCCCCTCTAAAATCAGGACATCTGGACCCCCTAAACCCAGGGGGCTGTGGCAGGAACCAGGGCTTCATCTAATGCATCCCCTTATGGTCCGTGTCTGTCTCTATATTAGTTACTTGTATGGTCCCCTCATCACTATAGCACCTGGGCACCGCACATCCTTTCATGTGTTAACACCCTTCTGAGTTGGGCAGTGCTCTTACGGTCCTACAGATGGGGAAACTGAGGCACGGAGCGGCCAACTGCCCGGTTTGCCCAAGGTCACACAGGGAGGCTGGGGTGGAGCAGGGAATTTAACCTACATCTCCCAAGTCTCAGGCTAGTGCCCTACCCCCTGGACCATCCTTCCTCCTGTGCGTCTCTTGCACAATATTAATAGGTAGGACCTAATCCTGCTAGTTGTGTCCCACGGATGGACTCGCCTCCTCCCAAGCCCTATTGACTGCAACAAGGATCCACGCCCAGGGGTCTGCCCAGGCCGAACAGCTCCACTCCTGAGCCCCTGCCCGGGCGTCCTAGCCCAAGCCTCAACTTCAAAGCGCTGTCTACACAGCTACTTTTGAAGCATTGGCTGAGCCCCGCTAACCCAGGGCTGTGGAACACAGACTGGGAAGCTCGTTCTAAACTGCGTCGCCACTCTTCAAAGCCTCCAGGTTTAAGCCAAGCCCCATGCCACTGCTCCCTGATTTCAGCATGTGCTAGTCCAACCCGCACTCCCCCTTCGCTGTGGGAAGCACACGCGGAGCTGCTTTGTGTGCGGCCTGGACAGAACGGGGCAGGTTACCCATGTCTGGGCACCAGATTATTCGGATGTCTGCACTACAGCATCGAGTCGCGAATTAATGGCAGACGCTCCTGAGTGCTGTTCGCATGTTTCCCCTAGCTGCTGATCAGTGGAGGTGGAGGTACGTGTTCAGAGACTGATCTCTGGGAAGGCACGAGCTGTGTGCTTTGCCTATCCAGCATATGGTGCCCTTCCGCTGCTTTTGGAAATGCAGCAAGAGGTGGTGTCAGGCTGGCATCTTTTATGGGGGGCTGGGATTCTTTGTTCCTCTTAGCCAGGGCCTGGTTGGGGGCTTTCTCCGTTCCCTTTCCCTGAGGATTCAGAACGTCTCTCTCAGCAGCACTAAATTCACACACACCCATTGTTGGGAGCCTGACTCGCTGGCCAAAGCAGTCTCCCTCAGGGAATGTGGCGGTGTGACAGACTATACCTGTGTTCACACCCACTGGAATAATGTTTGTACAAGGTTTGCCTTGGGAGGTATTTAAAAACTCATAATTTGCTGGTCTGCACCGTACCCCGGTCAATCACAGATGGCCACTCGGGATCGAATCCCTCCAAAACCCCAAGGAAGATGGTAGGGTCGGGGAAGGGATGAGTTCAGCATGACGCTCGCAGGGTCGCTGCAGAGCCTAGCGTTCTCCAGAGCAGTCGGCCAGGTTGGCTGTGCACATGGGCTCTGGGCCAAGAGACTCGGTTCTGTCAAGTGGAGAATATAAAGCCAACTGCATGTAAGACGGGTGGAATTCCATCCTCGGAGTCCGTGAGAAATACGAGCTGAGCCAAGGCAGAGCAATTTGCTGCCAGCCCCACAATCCCCAGCTAGAATTGTCTCTCTCCGTGCCCTCGTAGTTGTTTAATACAGGATAGGTACCCTGTCCCCCGATACAGCTGCCTGGGGCGCTGCTTTTTTTGGCCCCACTGGCAGCGGGGAGCGTGCTCGTTCTGCACACATCCACCGATGTCCGACACGCAGCCTGAGGGCTCATCTGCTCAACCGTGCCAGCTGCACTCTGCTTCCAACGACACCACTGTAAATCCGCTCTAGGCACTGCAGTCACTCTGGAGTTACAGTGGCCCCTGGAGTGTATTTTGCCCTCAACGCCCACCCTGCCTGTGCAAAACAGGCTATGCTGCCGCACCCCTAACGGAGGGGCTCGTCTCCCACACTCACCGCATTGCTCCTCCGTGTTTCTAGCCAGGGAACCGTGGGGCCTTGTTCTCAGGGCCTGCCACTGTTTGTTTTACAGAATCCCCGGGAACCCGGCAGAATGGCCCCCTGCAGGAGCTGGGGACAGGAACTGCACAGCCGGCTGGAGGAGCACATATGCACATCAGGGGCTGCCCCGCACTTCTCCTGCAATACTGTAGCCTCCCTGCCCCCTCCATGAGGCCTATCACTGAGCTCCTGCCTCCGTCCCACACTTCCCCTCAGAGCTCCTTTCGCATACTGAAATGACCTGGTGCCAAGCACGCGTTGGCTGCAAGTTCAGCACCGTTTCAGAAACCCTGGTTTGAAGCGGCTCTGACCAGGTTTCCTTTATACTCCTCAGTGACCGGATGGGGGCGTTTGTGATGCTCTGGGATCCTTGTCAGCACATTTCAGACCAGAGCTGTATGCGAGCTGCGATGAGCCCTTTGGGTAGGTCTGTACTGCAGCTGGGAGTGAGGCTCTGGCTAGCCACCCAAGTCCAAAGCCCATCTGACCAACCCGCTGGGCCCAAGTCACCACCACGCTGCAACGCGCTCACCCAGCTGCAGCGTGCACAGACGCTTTGTCTCTTCATGATAATTCAAGACCACCCAAAAGGGAAACCAACCATGCTTACGGGCATCTCTCCATTGGTCAGAACTGATCATTCCTGGGGAGGGGAGAAGGTATAAAACATTCTGGAAAAACAATTAAACGATTGCAGCATCAGGTGAGGCACACACAAGGAACCGGGTCCATTGTTTTTATTCTGATTTGATCCGACGTTACTAACGAATGGCACAGAAATCAGCGCAATTCCTTCCATGATTCTTTTCTCTCCGCAGAGCGACGTGAATTACAGAAGTGTGATCAAGTGTATCCGGGTGGCAAATGGCAACCCCCATGCCCCAAACACAGCAAATCACAGAACTAGAGCTCGCGTCCTTGGCAGAGTTCTCAGGAGCCACCCAATTCCCCTCCTCACTTCACCCCAGCCTGGGCCTCCGTCCCTTCCGAGGAGCAGGGTTCCCTTCGAACCAGTCAGCACCTCAGCCAACTGGGGCCTGATCTAATGCCCACTAAAGTCAATGAGTCTTTCCAGAGCAGGCCCTTGGAGGGGCTGCTGCTAGGTGACAAGACTCTTTCCTCTCCATCCCTGAAGGCTGACCACTTGCTAGCCCAGGAAGCCTGAGAGCAAGGCCGCGACTTGCTGCCTGGAGCAAGGCCACTCTGAGTGGCTCAAGGACATATTTTCTGCTTTTTGTTCCACCACCAAATGAGCCCAGCATTAAAGCCAACTGGGAAGCACGTTGCCTCAAGGGGTCTGGCAATCTGCAAGGACATTGAAATGAAAGCGCTATCACCACCCACAAACACCCTGTGTTCATCAGAGTCCCCCCCTCACATTTACACATCCCAAGGCTGCAGCTGGGAAATTCCTCTTCCGCTTCCTAGTGGTTGTTTTTCACAGCGGGCCAGGGCTAGCGTTTCAGCTCCAATTTAGCGACGGCTGTCCTGTGAACTTCATCGGGTCCATCGGCGAGACGCAGGGCTCGCGCCCAGGCGAAGAACTGTGCCAGTGGGTAATCGTTACTGAGACCTGCTGCTCCAAAGGCCTGCAACAAGCCCATGAGACGTGTGAAAAGGGCAGGACAATGCCATGATGGGAGCAGCAGAGCAAAGCAGGGACACTTAGAACTGTAGAAGCAGGAAGGCAATTTAGTGCTAGAAGAAGGTTCTCCATAGAATACGAACAATGTATAGGCAACAGCAGGACAAGTTTGTCCCACACCAGCCCCTGCTAATGTGCCTAAGTCCTGACCCACAGGGATCACGTCTAGGAGGAAGAGATCTGGCAGCAGTTTCCTCAGCCCAGGAGGCGAGGATAGGACTAACTCGTGAGTTGCAGGAGTTGGCTGAAAGCAGAAGAACCTTGGGGCTCCAAGCAACTGCTTGCTTTGTTTGGGCTAAACCCTAACCTTCTGGAATGGGAGAGAAATGAATGACAAGTGCACCATTCCCCGCTCACCTGGATAGCACGATCAATGACCCGCAGAGCCATCAATGGAGCCACCATTTTGATCATGGCGATCTCTAGAGCAGCTGCCTGTATAGAAACAGGATCAAACGCATCAGATCCATCCAGCTTGGTCAACCCTCCTCAGTCCTGGCTTGCAGCCCCTGCTATTCCCGTTCTGGTCTCCCCAAAACAATAGTACCAACGTACGGCAGGCTGGGCCTGCAGCCCCGCCGCTCTCCCAGCCCTGGGCCTCTCCGGAACACAGACTGCCCGTCATGCTGAGCTCCGTGTGATAATGCTGATGGGCACGAACATCCAAGGAGGAAATGCCCAAGCTCACTTTTAATTGGGAACCTCAGTAATATTTTTGCTCAGGCCTCCAGGGAGGAAAAGATCAAGCATTAGCGCTCCCCCATAGCGACCGGACAAGCTAAGCACACTAGGCCGAGCGCTGCAGTCCTCACTGTTCACTTACTCAGGCTGGTATTGTTAGCCCCCGGAGGGCCCCAGCCACGCACCTTGTTGCCAGCTGTATCCATGAGGAGGGCAGCCTTCAGGACAAGAAGACGGGCCTGCTCAATCTCAGCGCGGGACTTGGCGATGTCTTCCAGGATAGTGCCCTGTTCGGCTAGGGGTTTCCCAAAGGCCACACGAGACGTCACCTGCAATAGGCGCACACAGGGCTAAAGGCCTCTGAGCTTAAAGAGAGCTATTTTTGCTGGTGATAATATCTTACATCTGCAGAGAAACTTTCATCCCGACTGCCCTTACAAACTAGACAGGGACCCGCTTCATCCATTGCTGGGATGCAGCCACCTCTGGGGTGCTATGTGGCTGCTGTCTGACAGGCACAGTGACACTACATGGCAGTTTGGGATAGGAAGTGAAGAATGCTGTATCAGATTGTCTGGGGAATTGTTTAGAAGGGTAACTGACACCCTGCCTAAAATGGAATTAGCCAGGACTCAGGATTCAAGTCCTTCCAAGAGTGCAATAGCCGTCAGAATCTCAAGTTTCCAGATCCCCAAAAAGCAGCTACCTCTCCTCCCTGTGCTATACTGAAGCAGCATGGGGTGTAACAGAGGGACGGAATAGTGGAGAGCCTGAGAATGTGTTTAAAAAGGAAGATTTGGGTGACCACAATGGGTCTGGTGCCAGGGTCGGGATCCGAGGATGTTGCTGGGCTTCAGCCCAGGGATATGAATTGCCTGGTTAGTTGCTGTTATGCGCACACTCTGAACTGACATGGGAAGGGCCCAGACGTTGGAGACAACTAAGAAGGGAAGCAGAGCTAGGGAGAGCAGAGGAGTTCAACCCTTCTGAGGAAATGGAAGGAGGAAGATTCAGAGCGTACTGGGGGCCTTATTTGGCTGAACAGAGCTGCAAACAGGGGCAGTCGATTTCTCTAATCACGAGAGAAACTCCCCACCCATAAGAAAAAGGGAAGCAATGGAGTGAAACAGCCCTTTGTCCAGGGAGTACTCAGTCAGGCGGGGAAACCCATTTGCTCAGGTGTGTTGCTCTTGTGAGGCTGTTCTTGTGAAATATTTATTTGATCTGAACTCTCACCCCTGCTAGAGATCGAAGGACTCCACTAATAACTAACTGTAGTTTGGCTTCCAACATCCACTGATACGGGCTGAATTCACAGGGGTGGGGATTTGATGCTGGATGCAAGGCTGGATAAGTGGATTGTTTTCCGCTACCCATGGCGCTGTGGGTGTCAGGAAGGTATGCAGCTAAAATGGATTAAAGGTGTTTACACGCTACAGCGATAGTCTGCTGAGAAATATGATGCTAGATCGAATCAGACTGAAATGCAGATAAGGCAGCACTTGGAATGCAGTTGCAGAAGATAATGGAGTAGAGGACAGGAACCTGCAGCCATACTCACTCGCTTCTTCATGAGCGCCAGCGCCCTTTCGGAATAGCCAATGAGCCTCATGCAGTGGTGGATCCGTCCGGGGCCTAGTCTCCCTTGTGCAATTTCAAAGCCTCGGCCAGGTCCCAGCAGTATATTTTCTTTGGACACTCGCACATTTTCAAATAAGATCTCTCCATGGCCAGCTGCAAAGGGAGGGACAGAATGCACAGAGCTCAGCGGCATCACTCACTGGACACATCCCCGCATGCAGGAAGTTTGAATTCCTTCCCATTCCTCTCTTCCTGGGGCTCTTCCAGAGCCCACGCAGCTGTGAAATGGTCTCTCACCCGCCAGGAGCAGGCAAGTGATCTAATAACTCGGGTTCTCGTCAGGATTAACAAACATTGAGCTTTGCTGGTTTCTTTCCAGTGCTCGAACAAAAAAAAAAATCAAAGCCAAGGCAGAAAGGTTGGTGGGAAGCTTTTCCCAGTTCTGCTATCAGCACTTTCCAGCTCCCCTCATCAGAACCAGCCAATTCCTTGTTATTCCCAGCCCCCGCCAACACAGCCACTTCCTGTAATTTCGCCTGCACAGATTGTGGACAAGAAAGCGTGTCCAATGCTAAATGGACTGAAATACAGGTTTTGCTGTGGTTTCTCTTTGTCAAAGAGCCAGGAAACGTCACTTAAAGACTCAACAGCTCAAAAGATCATCTATAGGGTTTTTTGGCTGAAAAAACTAATGAAATAATTAAATACAACGTGATGTTAATGTCACTAGGATGTTTTAACAATGTGCTACAGGCTGTAGCGGGGAATGTAGCCCCAGGATTCCAGTATTTGCTTTAAAAGGAAGTAGCATCATAACATACTCCATGAATGATTATTTCTAATACCACTCATCTGCCTGTTTCTCTACACCTTTCACCCCCGAGCCTTACACAATCAGTAAACTGCACTGACGCCTTGGGAGGCCGGGGTTATTGAACTGAGGCACAAAGAAGTCATGTGATTTGCCCACTGTGAGTTGGTGGCAGAACTGGGAAGAGGACCCAGGAGTCCTGACTCCCAGTCTCTGCTCTGGATAACAGACAACCCTGCTGGACTATGTACCAGGGACAATGGAAGAGTGTGTGAGTGACGTAAAGAACTTGGGAGTCAGGAGACTTAGGTTCTAGTCCCAGCTCTGCCACCACCCCATGTGACCTCAGGCAAGTTATTTCCCTGCTCTGGGCCCCAGTTCCCTGATCCACAGGACAGTAATGCCCAAGTCATAGGATACAGAGAGGCAAGGCACAATGGGGTCCCACAGAAGCTAGGGCCAGCATATCAGAGGTGCCCACAACATGTGCCCTTTCAAAACCAGAATAATTCAGTGGACAAAGCGGAGCTGTCAAGGCATGTTACAAACTGAGCTAGCTCCTTGCCTCACCTGGGGGATCTTCTTCGCCAAATACACTGAGAGGCCTGGTGACGGTTATGCCCGGAGTGTCCATGGGAACTAAGAGCATTGACTGCTGTTTGTGGCGCTGGGCTTCAGGGTCGGTCTTCCCCATAAACACACAGAGCTGGCACCGAGGATCCAGGGCCCCTGCCGGGAAACGACACAATGAGAACTAGACTGACTGGTGCTGAAAACCTCAGGCCCAATCAATCTGCCGGGAACATGACTGATTGCAGCGAAGGCACATCGGGGTGAATTTGGTGCCTGTGTCTCATTCTGACTTAGCCCTTTCAGCGAGCAGAGCAAATCCAGCCATCTTAGCTGTAGCTAATTCAGGACATGGTTATTTGGTTTGATAGTTTGTTTCAAGAGTTAACAGAAGAGATGAGAGCTGGCGTGAGAACTCCAGGCTCTGATAAAGGCTCTGAAGTCCTTTATCCACAATTACCGTGGAATTATCAGGCAAATTCAAGCTTTCCCACATCACCCCACCCATCCCTGTGACGGAGGGACCACCTGGAGGGGGGAAGGCTCTTCAAGGCTCATTCAGACCTTGGCCTCTCTTCTGGAACTGCCAACATAGGTGCTCATTACTGCCTACTGGGAACTGAACCGAGACCACCCGACTCATTTCACAACCAGTGGATGGTAACAGCTCGCAGGCATTACTGACCCAGGTGGGATTCGAACTGGCTGCCTAGAGGGGAAAGCCTCACTAGCCCATTAGCAACCCCATGTGCCACCAGACGCCCGGTAGTGTATGTTTAACTCGTCCAAAAAGGGGATGTTTTCCTAACGATTAACATAAAGCTGAAGACTGCAGCAAAAGCATTTCCCAGAGGGGCTCTTGGGGGGTCACGGCAGCATCTAATGCCCAAATGCCTGTAACAGTCACAACTGTACGTGAACAGAACAGTGCTGTTTGAACTCTGCAGTCCCGGTTGACTTAGCATATAGCAATTCTGCTCTCCATTACTCAGGCGTAAATCCACAGTATCTCCATTCAAGACAGTGGAATTACGCTGGATTTACACTGGTGTAGCTGAGATCAGAATCTGACCCTCCGTAAGCGAGGGCTGAGTGCAAGTCAGGGCCCAGGGCCCCTTTCAAGAACCGTTTTAGATCAGCACACTGGAGAAAAGGTCCAACAGGACAGCTTCACGCCACAGCAGGCAGCCATGGGAGCACGTGGCTCTGTGACAGAGACCGTGTGTGTATTGGAATGTACCTGAAATCCACCATTTATGCCCATTTAGAATGTAGAAACCCTTTTCTTCTACGACTGAAGCTTCGATGTTGGTGGCATCAGATGAAGCAACCTAAGTAGAAACACTTTCAGTTCCGAATCTGCCAGCTCCTCTCAGCCTCAGAGGGGCCGGAGAGAAGTTTCAGACATTCTCATCGGGTGGCTTGGGAGGCGAGAAGTCACGGCCTGAAGCTGGCAGAGCTCAGCACAGCACTGCTGATGCACCCCAAAGGCTGGGAACCCCAGCTCAGCTGAACAACCGAGTGAGCAAACACCTCTAAAAGCAAAGCTGGGGAGTCACACAATGGACTTCAGGCCTGATGCTTGGAAAGGCCTAGAAAGGGGTGCCCAGCCCCTCTGCCAATCAGGCCGGCAGCTGGTTGAGTCTGACAGCTAGACAGTAGTTTAATTAAAACGCTTTGTTACACTTCATAATTACCACTAACTGCACAAGAGCACAGCTTAAGAAACATGGTGGCCACGATTACTGGAAAGTGACTGGTGATTTTGAGTGCCTCCAACAGACACTTTAAACCAATGTGATTCTCTGAAATTGCTGAGCACCCCCCCTTCGAAGGGCCTCAGGTTGGGCTCCCAAAATCACAAGCCTCTTTTGAAAACCTTGGCCAGTGAGTAGAACAACTGCCAGCACTGAGAACAGGGCGAGCCGCTGTATGGTGTGGATCTACTCTACTCCATGGTGTGGTTGACTGGACAGCGATACTGACCTGCGGCTCAGTCATAGCAAAGCACGAGCGTATCTTCCCGTCCAACAGAGGCTGCAGCCAGCGTTCCTTCTGCTCTTCCGTCCCATAGCGAACCAGCACCTCCATGTTCCCAGTGTCAGGGGCAGAGCAGTTGAATATCTGGAGGGGGGAAAGCCAAGCACCAGTCAGCAAAGGAGAGGCATGTTTGTTGGGAAAGGGAGTTTGTAGGTCAACCTCAAACGGCACAGCTGCTCCTGACTGCCGAACGCCCATTCCAAAGCATCAGGGAATTCAGACCACACAAGCTCCTGCTGCTTTCAAAAGGCCAGAGCTAAGGGCAGGGTGGAAGCTGCATTGCAGAGACAGGTCCCCGAGCCCGCTCACAGCAGAACGCGGAGGGGGAGCAGCATGCACCTGGGGCTAGCGCACACTGTAGCTATACAGATGATGTGTTCTTATGGTACATAGAAATGTAAGTGGACCCAAAAATCTATTTCCTAAAAATGGCTTGACAATCACCAAGTCAAATACGAGTGAAGTGAAGGGAGCCAATTCAGAAGCCAGTTAGAGATGAGGTACGGCAGAACCCCAGGTCATGTTGTAAACACAGTTTGATCCTAACTGGTTTTTACAAGTGTTTTACATCAAATGTTAATGTTTTGAAAAATGCGCTCTCTATAGCAGGGGTCTCAAACTCCCGGCCTGCGGGCCATCTGCGGCCCAAGAACCACCCCACTGCGGCCCACGGAGGAGAGACCCATGTAGCCACACTGCAGCTCTGTCTGCTACAGGTGCCGCCCCCCACAGCTCCCATTGGCTGGGAGAGAGGGATAGAGATACCATCACTAGTCGCCGGGCAGAGTCAGCTATGGAGGCAGCATCATTAGTTGCTGGGCAGAGTCAGCCATGGAGGCGGTGTCACTTTTTTCCACAATGAACATAAACAAGTCAAAATACCGAACACAACTCTCTGATGCACACCTGGCTGCAATTCCACTGCTCAGTCACTGAGGCCAAACATCAACAAACTGACAGAACTGAAGCGTTGCCAGGTATCTGGCAAACACTAGAAACTCTCGGGCAGGCGAAGAATTGTATCAAGTTGTATAAAGAACAGGAGTACTTGTGGCACCTTAGAGACTAACAAATTTATTTCAGGATAAGCTTTCGTGGGCTACAGCCCACTTCTTCAGATGCATAGAGTGGAACACACAGACAGAAGATATTTATACATACAGAGAACATGAAAAGGTGGAAGTACGCATACCAATTGTAAGAGGCCAATGAATTAGAGATGAGCTATCAGTAGCAGCAGAAGAAAAA